GCAACGGGCCTACCAAGTCAATTCCCCATTGAGCAAAAGGGATCGGGCAGCTGATTTTTGTCATTGCTTCGGCTGGAATGTGGGGGATTTGACCATGGCGCTGGCATCTATCGCATCCTTGCACTAATCGTTCGGCTGCTTTTCGGATCTTGGGCCAATAATAGCCTGCTCGAAGGGCTTTTCCAGCTAGGGCTCATGATCCTATATGTGCTCCGCAGCATCCTTCGTGGATTTCCTTCAAGACATGGTCCCCTTCTTTTTCAGAAACGCATCGCAGGTGGGGCCCGACCATCGACTTCTTATACAAGACTCCTTCGATCTCAAAATATTTACTCAAATATCGGGCTGCTTTCTCAGCCTCCTGCTTATCTCCTTCTGGCACTCAACTTTGTAATAGCTCGCGAATTGCTTTTCGCCAATCTTGGTTTTCGTCGACCTCCATTGTCTCACTCAGGATGCTTCCTTCCAAGTGTAGCATGGTAATATGATCCCCCATTTTTCCTTCGTTCGAGCTTGCAATTCTTGCGAGCCAGTCGGCCCGCTTATTCTCTTCTTGAGGTACTTGTGTTAGCTCAAAGCTGTCCAAGCCTTGTACTAGGCTCTGAATTTCTTCGACATACTTTATCATCCGATCCTCTTTGATTTCGCAATTTCTCAATACTTGCCCCACAACCAGTTGTGAGTCAGAATGTGCCATGATTTCCGTTGCTCCGCCCCCGATTGTCAGTTGGATTCCCTTAATTAGAGCCTCGTACTCTGTTTGAGGCTTTAAACCCCATTCTGATGGCGAATTCGAGCTGTTCGCCTTCGGGGGATACTAGGGTTACTCCCAGACCAGATCCCTTGGCTGACGAGGACCCATCGACGTGCATTATCCATTTCTTGCTTGCCCCTTTAGTCCCTTATTGGATAAAATCGGCTAGAGCCTGGGCCTTTATAGCTCGTCGAGGTTCGTATTTGATGGAAAATTCGCTAAGTTCGACCGCCCATTTTACGAGTCGACCTGACACGGTAGGTCAACCCAGGGTCTCTCCGAGCTGGAAATTCGTCCTTACTATTATCACATGGTTCAGGAAATATGGTCTCAATTTTCTGGCTGTGAGCACCAATGTTAATGCGGCCTTCTCGACTTCGGAATATCTCGCTTCTGCGCCTTAAAGTACTCGACTAGTATAATAGATCGGCTGTTGGGCTCCTCCAGCTTCTCGCAGTAAT